GACAAATGTTAATCTGAGCAATCTTAACATACACTTCTCGACCATATTCTGTATTGTTTTCATTTTATGCCCATTTTAATACTTTGAATGGTTTGAAACATTTTTTAGCCTGATTATAATTATAGTTGTAATAAGAGCTAGTTAATAGGTTGAGAAACATAACATAAGTTAGAAACATAAAGAAACATAAGCTAGTTAATAGGTTGAGTTGATAACAAATCAATAATGGATTTGTTTTTGGCTAACTTTAGTTATGAGCAAAAGGTTATTATTAACACTTATTACCATTTAAATACAGCGCATTTAAATTTGGCGCTGATTTTTTAGTGATCCGGAGTCAGTCAGCATGAGCTGCCATGGAGGTGGCAGATGCTGCTACATAACATTCACATCATCACATGCATTGCTATCGACCTACATGACTGACGCGCATTTTTTATCAAGGCGTCTTTTTTAATTTGTTTCGATCTTAACCCGCGAGCTGCTGGAGGGGGAATGATAAATGCCCACTTTTTCACCGCGTTCTAGGTTAAAAACGCCAAATTTTCGGTACCTGTGGGGAATAGATTGAAGTTTGTTGTGACAAAATTTTAAAATAAAATCGGTTGAAAATATTGGGATTTTGAGGTTTTAGTGACGTCATGTTTTCCGAGTTTTTCGGCCGAAAACGGCAAATGTTAAAAATTTATAAAATCACAGAACGGACGTAAAAACATGCCGTAAACGCCATGAGACTGCAATGCCCAGTCAAATGGTATCTTCGTTTCGATGATCGTTCTACATTTTCCAAAATCTTGAGCTGAATCTTGGCAATTTCTCGTGACTACTTGACGACGATGCATGCCTTTCTTAAATTGATCTTTTACGACCAAATACGTACTCGTATGATAAAATGAGTGTCACCATCGTGTTCTGCGACCTAAAGTATCCATAGATCATGTGCCATATGCTGCGAATGCCAATTTTGATTTTCGGGGATGTGTTCTTACCTGGTTGACCTGACAGTGACTCTGACCTATCTGTGACTGACACCTACATAGATCTGACACTCGTGTAGCACTTACACGTATATGAAGGATTGTGCTCAGTCTGGACATAGCTTATGAAGAGAGACGCCCAGTACAAGGTTCTAAAGTCCATGCAGATGGAAGCCCAATTTCGGGTGTTTGACCTGACCTTGACCCGACCTGTGACCTCGAAATTCAAATTTCAAGTACTCATTCGGCGCATCTCGTCGCGTTCTTTCGTTTGCCGCCTCGCGCGTTGCGCTGTGCCTATTGCTTCGTTCTCGAGTTATCGTCTGGGGGCGTTTAACCCTCGCCGGACCTATTGGTTTTCTACATACACGCCGGCCGAGGGGGGGGCGGGTACGACCCCCCCCTCGCCGTTTCGCCCCTGGTGGAGCTAGCGCGTCGCGGAAAAAACGAGCGTGTGCGCCGTTACGAGACGCAGAGATTGGTACCCGATTTTAAGGTCCTAGGTCAACCGGTGACCTCTGAGGTCAGGTCAAGTGCCCCAAGGTACGGTTCAGTTTTTGGTGAATAACTTCGCAAAAAATGGCCGCAGAGCCGCGATTTTGGCAGCATCGTGTTCGCCTCGCTCAGGCGCGTCGAATGATATACTTTTTGTTCGGGTCAGGTCAACTTGGGGTGTTGACCTCAGGTCAAGGTCAGGTCAGCACCCTAAGGTCACGAAGTTGGTCGAAAGGGGTCATGTCGCATATCATTCGATTCGGCAGGTCTTCCTGAGTCCATTGGTGGCTTTCCCGACTCGCTAGCTCAATTTGATCAAGAGTTATTGACGAAAAACTAATATGACCTTGATGACGTCATAAATGACGTCACGCAAGGTCAACATTGCAAAAGTGACGCATCTAACCTTGCAAGGAGTGCATCAAATCACGATTCTGTGTGCTCGAGATAGTTGGAGATCGTTCCCGGCGCCAGAATAGCAGTTTGAAATTTTCCCCATTGACTTATAATGGTGAGGTCACGAAAATGACCTGACCTCATATGACCTTTAGGAAAAATCCGAGATATACAAGTTGTGAGACTCATAATGGATACTAGATCCTGCAAGTTTCATTTCCCTGTGACATCTCCTCTGGCAGTGAGGGCGTTGCGAAGTTGCGACATCTGAAGACCGTGCAGAGGTTCACTTATGACGTCATAGGTCAGTGACCTGACCTGACCCAAAAATGCGGTTGGTGTCAAAAGATGCGGCTTGGATCAAAGGTCAGGTATGCCAAGTTTCAGCTCTCTATCGCCAGCGTGTTCGGAGCTATCGCGAAAAAACCCTATGGGGGGGGCGGCACCCGCCCCCCCCCCCCTCGGCCGGCGAGGGTTAACGTCCCCCCCTAGCAACTGACGGGGGGTGCAATACCCCAGAGACTGCCGGATTAATTTAACCTTCGCCCTGGCGGGGGGGGGGGCTCCAAGCGACCCCCCTGAGTTTTGTTTGCGGTGGGCGCCAAACTATTAGTCGGATGGTGCTGAAATTTGCTGCTGCCTCTGGGGAATCCTTTGCGCATGTTTGGGTAAAAAAGTTATCGGTTCATGTCAGGTCACCGAGCTATGGCGTGATAATAGGTACAGTACCGACCGTTTTTGACAAAATCGTACATTCCTCGTAACTGGACGTGATCTCATCGACAAGAACGAAACTATTCCATTTGATTTACGTAATATTTGACAGGACATGGATCTTCACCTTATATATTCACCTTCCTAAGGTCAACCAAGGTCATTGACACCGCGTGTTCACACGCTGACCTCCGTGATATGAGCTGTGTTTTGTGGGGTTTCTTGAAGTCCTGAATCCGAGTCTGTGGTTCAGTATTCACCTAAACGCCTTCAAAACTGTTCCTTGACCTTTACAAGGTCAATTACGACCGTGCTCGCCGGCGGCGGGTGTGACCTCCCGTGTTCCCGGGGACTACTCCACGCCAGTGATGACTGAACTGCAGTCAATTATGCATCATTGTGTTGCTAATTCACTGAGAAACACGGTCGTCGAGGTTTCATGGCGGTGCCGGTATCTTTCATAGATTCGCCAATATTGGCTAAGCAACTTGGGAAATTTTAGCTTTTCCCCGAAATTTGACCTTTGACCTGCCATAATTGGGTCAAATATTGACATAGGGTAAGAAAGTATACCTACCACCGATAGTGAGTACTCGATGACAGCAAGTGACTGTTTTTTGTTGCAAAGCGCTACGACGCTTAGTTTCGAAACGCCAGGAGGTCGCACCGACCCATCTCCCCTGCCAGGCCGCGTTATGAAAAATGTCCTGCCAGGGCGAGGGTTAAAGGTAGTGTGCCAGCTTTCCTGGACCATATGGTGTTAATGACCCGGATAAGGAGAACCGGATTTTTAGAACTTATCCATACCTTCAAAACTCATGGAAACGTCTTAAATTCTTCCATAGACCTCTGTATACATGGACTGGACACAGAAAATCCGGCCATGACCACAACGGCCCTAAAAGTAAATGCTTATAACTCGAGAGTCAGTTTACCTACGACATCCATTTTTTCACCGCCGCATAGCCTCATTCATTGAAAATGATGGGGATCATCCGCCGAGCCGATGCGGTGTGATGGGGGAGCACCTGCACGTGGCGCGTGAGAGATGTTTATGAAAATGGCGTGACAGTATCTCGGGAACGGCTGGGCCGAATGAGTCCAGATTCGGAACACAGCCAGGTATAACCCATTGGCCAATCACGCATGTTACAATTTTGAGGTGCCGATGCACGTGCGCACGTGCACACCCCTTTTCTGTATCTCAGAAACTACTCGTCCGATTTTGCTGAAATTTGATATATAGCTGGACACTAAGCAACCAATGTTGGTGCACACCTCAAACATGGGGTGCAGCTGCACGTGCGCACGTGCACACCCCTTTTCTGTATCTCAGAAACTACTCGTCCGATTTTGCTGAAATTTGATATATAGCCGGACACTAAGCAACCAATGTTGGTGCACACCTCAAACATGGGGTGCAGCTGCACGTGCGCACGTGCACACCCCTTTTCTGTATCTCAGAAACTACTCGTCCGATTTTGCTGAAATTTGATATATAGCCGGACACTAAGCAACCATTGTTGGTGCACACCTCAAACATGGGGTGCAGCTGCACGTGCGCACGTGCACACCCCTTTTCTGTATCTCAGAAACTACTCGTCCGATTCTGCTGAACTTTACTTTTTAGCTTGATACTCAGCAAGTATTGCTGGTCCACATCCCGAAGTTGGGATGGCTTTGCACGTGCACACGTGCACACCCCTCTTTAAAGGTCAGAAAATATCCTTCCTACTTGCCGAAGCATTGAAATACCTACCAGTTGCAATAAGACCGTCAATGCGAAAAAGAAACATCGGCGACACTTGGCCTTCACCCTTCGCTGTATGAATAACGGCGCAATCGCATTGTAGGTACAGATAATAATTCAATGCTAAGAAGGCGTTCATTTTCAATCATGATACTTTTTCTAGCCAGGGTTACAGAGCAAAGGTAATCATTCAAAACAGCAGATGTCGGTAGCACCTAAACAATGAAAAAAAAAATGCAGTCCAATCGCTTCGTTTCCTGGATTTGGTTTATTGTTATCACAGGAACTGCTTTGTCACAGCAACTTAAGTAGATATTTACCTACTGCAAGTGAAGGTGAACCGAATAATTCTGCTTACTGTATATTGCTCATAAAAGCGAGTGTGTGGAAATACTGCGTCAGGTACTGCATTGTTTGTTATGACTTAATCAAATTTTACTGCTCGCGGAATGCTTAGCTAGGTTCGAGAAACTGAAATCAGCCATTTCCCGCAATGAAAGATGGTAGCTAAAAATTTATCTCTTACCTTGCCGAGGACGCCGTATTTATATAAAATAGTAATATCACGTGAGTTTCAGTAAAACAACAAAAATGAACAGAGACACAAATGTGGGTGTTTATTTTGAGTAAATGGTTGTGCCTTGGTAACAATGAGGCATTGGGACTTAAGCATTTACGTAATTTAGTAAATATGTATTTTCTAGGATTTATAGTGCATTTTCTTAGCTATTTACATTTTGAAGTGAAGGATGGTTAAGTGTGCCGCTCTTTTATGTCGTTCAGGCTACGCGCTTACAAAGGCAGAAAAGGCAAACAAGCTAGTTCAGCGCAATGTTTCTGTGTTTTCCTTTCCGAATGACAAAGAGTTACGCGATCGCTGGGTGTTAGCGATAGGTCGCAATGACTCAGCCTGGAATCCAGATCACTGTGGTGTCTGTGAGCTCCATTTCCGTGAGGAAGACTTTCATCAAACAACCAGAAGAAAGAACGAACGTAAAAGGAAATCTCTGAAGAGCGGCGCCGTTCCGTCAGTCTTCGAATCACACGAATGGTGAGTACTAAGTAAAAGCCTGTAGGTACCCATAGCTTAACCCTATTCCTGGCGGGGGGGGGGGCCTCAGGAGCCCCCCTGAGGTTTTTTGGTTATTTCTCCCAAACGCTTTGAGCTAGGAAGCTCAAATTTTCTGACTTTTCCTAAAAGGCTTTTACGCAACATTTCTGAAAATTTTGAGTTGATCTGACCTTAGGTCAGGTCACCAGAGGCGGTTTGGTGACCCTACCTCAGAAAAGTTTGCAATCACGCCAGAGCTAGAGTTTCTGACCTATCAATTTCTTCTCTTTAGGCTTTTGTTAGGGTACCAGTATGTGCAATTTGTATATCTCAGAATTTTCATATCTGTGACCTGAGGTCAGGCCAGACTCGTGACCTTTACATTGCAAGCCTATGGGAAAATATTGAAACGCCTCCTGCTTCGTGTAAACGAGTCAAAACCACCCAATTCTTTCAGTATTATGGAAGGTTATCTCATCGGTGATAATCCTGGTGCCGCTAATTGACAGGGGCACCGGCAAAGGTCATGTGAGGTCATGTGACGTCATAAATCGTTTTTCTGTCAATAAATCACGACATGATGGTGCTTAAGACTTGTAAGTGGTACCAAACTGCTCGCCTGGTCAAGGCGCGTCGTTTGGTATGCAGCATGACCATACCCCACAACCTCATTGATGAATGACCTGACCTTGACCTCAGGTCAAATTTCAAATTGACCTGTGAAGGTCATCACATACTTATTTCGCATCGCCTCGGCGAGAGCAACAAAAAATGTATTGGTTTTATGTCTCTATGTTTCTTAGTTTAAAAGTTATATAGGTAACTAATTCCAAAACATTTTATCGTTGATGACCTCTGGTGACCTCAATATTGACCTGACCTGAAAATGTTTTATATAAAAGTTGTAGATCTTTAAACGACCTATCAAACGCCGTTCGCCGTTTGTCGCTGCGATGTGTAGTTTTTGAGATCTGAAGGGGGGGGGGCGAATCGGCCCCCCGCCAGTTTCTTGTCCCGGCGGAGCCCGCCAGGAATAGGGTTAAAACATGCGTCGAGTGACATAAAACACGTGTCACACGACTTATACATTTCCCACATGCATTCCTCAAAACTTCCATGACCTTTTGTGACCTAGTGCGACCTAGTTTTGTCGTGAAACATAAGTGGTAAAAGCTCGGTATCTACAAGGTACCTTTTATCATGCATTTATGAGTGTGTAAGGCAGACATTAGCTCGCTGTGACTTGCTAGCAGCGCTGAGTGCCCGAACTGGGGGCCCGCTGAGGGTCCTGGATTCCCACGCCCTGCTGGGGTGTTTTAACACCCCATTCTAGCTCGGCTCCTGGGACACGTAGTGACATAGTAGGCGGCATTCGAAATAGCGTAAAAATAATGAAGAAATCGGTCAAGGTCAAGGTCAAAACTCAAGTCATGGTCATGACCTGCCCGGTAAAAGGTCTTGTTGCATGCCGGTCGATCCGTGTTGTCAAGCCAAACAAATCTTAGACGTTTGTGCCTCTATCAAAAGCTGTTGGCCAAAAACTGTTAAATGCCATTTGTGACCCAAGGTGACCTCAGGGACATAAAGAAGGGTCAAAGGTGCCATTTTCTGGTTCGTCATGTTTACTTGTAATTCGATCGTTGAAGGTGTTTGCCGTTATGTCTGTTTGTTGCGATGTTTATTGTGACGTTCCTCCACACAAGATGCATCTTTCAAGTTTCCCCAATGGCTTATAATGGAGGTCGCAAAACTGACCTGACCTTAGGTCACCGGTATCAAATTTCTGATACATAGATTTTGTGCATACTGTTGTCCCTAATAGCCGTTTTCACGACGGGCTATCTGGCGATGGCACCTAATTTGACCAAATCTGTCCCTAATCTCTTTTTTTATAGATATTTGTACATCGTTAGAATGGCACTGAAACCAGTGTTTTCGTAAATAGCGGGAAAACCGCGACGCGTAGCACCGCGAAATTTGGCATGACTATTCTCTCATCAATTTTACAGCATGGTGTGCAAGTTTAAACCTCCTAACTTTTAAGGTCAGGTTACCAGGTCACTTCGAATGAAGCAACCTCAAACCACTTTTTTGCAACTTTGTTACCGTGTCAGAGCTACAGTAGATGACTGAGGCCTTGGAGAGTCGCAGGATGTAATTATGTCTTTGGTAGCTAGAATTTGTATCTCTCAGAATTTTGATATCGATGACTTAGGGTCATATCTAGCGCCGCTATTTTTACTTTTTTGACCCCTGTGACGTCATCTTTGACCTGACCTGAAAATGACTTAAGTAAAAATTGTAGATCTTGTCCGTGCGTACCCCATGCCGTTTACCGCTTGTCGCTATCTTGCTTCGTTCTCGAGATCTCAGGGGGGCGGTTGCATCCGCCCCTCCCCCGTCGGTTATAAGTTGGCGCGGACCCCCGTCGGTGCGCGGGTTAAATTCCTACTTGCAACGGTATACTAAGCCCACCCGAGTGTTGAAACACGCATTCCGGTTTGAAGTACCGTTGACCTGAGGTCAACTATGCATTGAACGTTGGTCAAAATAACATGGAATGCAATAAATTTGCTATGAGCTTTAGGTAAAGTGTGATTAATTTAGGTACACCGACCGAGCGAGGCCAGTGTCTTAATTTCTTTTGTTTTCTTTTCTTTCAGTCCTGTCCCGCTCAACGATGCCCAGCGGCAGCGCACGACAGTGCTGGCAACAGCATCATCGAGACGGCAGGTTGCCGAAGTGCAACTGCAACAACAGTGCGCCGACATGATGGAGGCGGAGAAGTTCTCAACTCTGGAGGACATGCATACCAAGCTCGAGAACGAAACGCTTCCTTCAGGGTACACGACAGTGAAGATGTCACACCCAGCCGGAGTCGAGTCTGTACTGAGCGTCCGATTAGAGCAGCTGGATGAGAAGTCAGGGCACCCGGTCATCACCAGAAACCTAACGGTATATGAAGATCTTCACTTTCGGGCACACGCAGCAGGTGTTGAAATCTCTGTTCAGCAATTTTCTGGGTTAACTGCAAGAGCTGGGCAATTCCAAAGCACCACAGAGGTCTTGAACGTGCTTGCTCGCCTGAAGTCATTCACCATCACTGCCAAGGACTTGATGACCTCTGCTGCCAGCGTTTTGGATCTAGCAGCGGAAGCCGACAGTGGTGATAAGTTCACCATCTGTCAGTTCGTCGCGGAGCAGCTACGCCTGGCCTCGGTCCCAGCGAACAGACGGCGATATAGTCAAGCGCTGATGAGTTTGGCTGTGGTGTGGGACAGAACCAGCCCGAAGTTATACGAAGAGTTGTGTAGCTGCTCTGTTCTGTTCCTGCCGCACAAGAAAACCCTCCGACGCCTCACATCCGCGCTCAGCGTGAGAGAGGGTTTGGAGATCGGCACAGTGAAGTATCTCCAAATGAGGATCGAAAAACTGACCAAGAGAGAGAGACTGGTCAATCTGGCAATGGATGAAGTGTACACGGCGCGAGCAGTTGAAGTGGCTGGAGGGCGCGTCTTTGGTGAGAGCAAAGACGGTGTCGCCAGTACTATCTTCTGTACCCTCATCTCCTCTGTGGCTGGCACGTACGAGGACACCATCTCAATGTCACCGGTATGCAGCATCACCACCGAAGACATTCGCACCATATTCTTCACGGTGCTGAAGACCCTGACGGAAGTAGGGTTCACTGTCGTGTCATGCACCACCGACGGACACCGGACAAACCAAGCCTTTCACAACTCGCTCGGTGAAGACGGGCGTCATCCGGAGTACATCGTGAATCCCTTCAACGCTCAAACAAGAGTCTACACCATGTACGACAGCGTGCACCTGTACAAGAACTTCTTTTTCAATCTGATGAACAAGAAGACCCTCGTCTGCATACCTCCAGGCCTCGAGATGGCCGTGAAGGCCCAGTTCAAACACCTGCAACAGCTGCACAAGCTGGAGATGGGAGAGGAGGTCAAAATGGCCTACAAACTGACAGACCGGGTACTTAACCCCACCAGCATTGAGCGCGTCAACGTTCAACTGGCTGTGGCAGCCACCCATGAGTCGACTGTGGCAGCGCTCAGATACTACAGCCAGAAGAACGAGTACCGCGACTTCGGACAGACGGCCGAATTCCTCGAGATGCTCAGGAAGTGGTTCAGCGTTGTGAATGTGAAGACGGCATTCACGCACGTGCGCCTGCGTGACCCTCTCAGGGCCCCACCCAGGAACGAGGAAAGTTGCACGGGCCTGGACTTCCTCGCTGCCTTTGCAGCTATGCTGCGAGTCTGGCAGAACAGGAAAGGAGGTGGGAAGATGTCTGTCGACACATCGCAGGCCGCCATCTACACCTGCAGAGGTCTAGTCGGCGTGGCCCGCTACCTGCTGGAAGAGCACGGTGACGTAATCGACTATGTCCTTCTGGGGAAAATACAGTCGGACAGGATCGAAGGCCGTTTCGGCTACCTGAGGAAGTTGGCTGGCGGAAACTTCTGGGCGAGCGTCAGACAATTTTTCGAAGGGGAAGCAGTCATCCGGGTCAAAAGTCTCGTCTGGCTGTCGGGCTACAGTCTCGGCACAGTGGCTGCTGTCATGGCGGAGGCACGTCAACAGCGACAGCAGGACGACGCTGAGGTGGCGGAGACCCTGGCGGAGTACGCTGCCAGCGCGGAGCACGAGCCTCTATCGGAGGGAGCAGAGCAGGCCATCACACATGTGGCTGGCTACCTCGCCCGCTCAGCGCTGAAGAGGAGACAGTGCCATGCATGCCACGCACTCTTGGTCAACAAGGAGCCGAGCCAGGTTCAAGAAGTACGAATCGATGCGGAAGACAGCCAACCAGAAACAGCACCCGAACTAACAGAAGCCGTGAAGACATTCACTGATCATCTGAACCGGGGAGGCCTGCTCTGCCCTTCCGAGCTCACCGTGGACTTGTCGATGAACATCTGCCACGCTTATAGGTAAGCACTACCACTCAGTTGTTTATATGCTTAATTTGTCTGAGTTAGTTTGAACTTTTGGTCATTTTCCTCTCAGATATTAGGTACTTTGAGTTCTGGCTTGGTGGCAGACAGAACCTGTGCATCAGCTAATTTTAGAATAAGTCGACACATGATTGGTGACAGTACTTTTGTATTAAATTGTAATTTAAATTGAACTTGTTGTAGCGTTTATTATACCTGCATTATAATTGCTTTAAAGTGTTTGTCTAATACGCTACAATTCTACCGTGCAAAGACAAAAACGATTAAGTCAAGTCAGAGATCATTACGTCAGGTTAGAGGTCACCCTAACGTTTTTGCCTTTGCACGACAGGGTTATGCAAATTAGTAATCAGTAGTCATGTATCATAGTATGTTAGTTCAATGTTCTTTCCTTGTATTTCACAGGTCGCTGATGCAGGATGAGGCATCGAGGCGCGCCCTTCTCGGCTGCTCCGAACCACGCTCCACGTTTGAGCACGTCTCCACCTCCATCGCTCAGCAGGACAGCCGGCTGATAAGCCTCCAGTGCGCCAGAGGCCACAGCTTTCTTCCATTATATGGACAGATGGCGCGCGCACTCTTCAATGTCTTCACATCCAACTACGCTACAGAAGTGAACAGTGCTGTTCACTCAAGTAAAAGGCGATCTTCAAGTCCGGTAGTCATGCGTCGACGTGATCAGACTGAAAACAAAGTGAGAAAACTGAGCGGTGCAAAGTGACAGCAGTGAGTGTGTGGTGGTCGAGAGCGCCGTCGTTATCGTACGCTTACGGATGTGTGTGTGACATTGTCCCGCCGTCAGCGGGCAGGTCCTGTGATCAGCCGCTTCCCGCTCTTGACAGAAGTTGCAAGTAACGCACGTGACTCCCGTCGCCGCCGCCGCTACCGCGCGTTGGCTCTCCGTGCGGATGCATTCCAGCGCCCCACATTCGCCGACTGCAGCGCGTCTGTCTTCAACGTTCGCCCCTGGCGAAGGACGTTCCTGGGTCGAGTCGCGAGAGCTGCGTGCCATGCGATGCATCAAGGGGTGGTTAGAAAGGCGTTTTGTGATGAGTGTAATAGTGAAATATGTTGTCTACAGTCCCGAAGAGATGTTCATATGTTACCCGTTGTTGTTATATGATATTTGTTTTCACGCCACCCCCAATAGCTGAATGTCGCCAGAGGTCGCCTCTTATAAGGCTTTGCCCGGATGCAGAACAGAGACTGTCGCACGAGCGAACAGTCCTTTCGTGACCGAAACAGGACATTCCGAGAATAAAGCTCCTCAACATTTATCCTACATTCTTTATGAAAATCAATGGTATTGGAATCAAATGGTGATAAAAATAAGAGCCTATTACAAATACAGAACCAGGAGTGTAAAAGTTCCTATGCTTTACAAACATTCAGTAAACCTAAAAAAAAACAAGAATTTGACTTAAATTTATATTGTTTATCCTCTCGCACTCATAACAAATACGTTAAGCGAAAGAAATCAGCTGTCAATGTCTCAGTCTATCATTTAAAGCATTTTCTAACTAGAAGCATAGGCGAGGACACTCAGTGTCCGAGGCACAACAGGGAGTGTGCACGAATGCACGTGCAAAGTCATTCCAAAATCGAGATGTTGACCAGCAATGCTTGCTGAGTATCAAGCTAAAAAGTAAAGTTCAGCAAAATCGGACGAGTAGTTTCTGAGATACAGAAAAGGGGTGTGCACGTGCGCACGTGCAGCTGCACCCCATGTTTGAGGTGTGCACTAACAATGGTTGCTTAGTGTCCGGCTATATATCAAATTTCAGCAAAATCGGACGAGTAGTTTCTGAGATACAGAAAAGGGGTGTGCACGTGCGCACGTGCAGCTGCACCCCATGTTTGAGGTGTGCACCAACAATGGTTGCTTAGTGTCCGGCTATATATCAAATTTCAGCAAAATCGGACGAGTAGTTTCTGAGATACAGAAAAGGGGTGTGCACGTGCGCACGTGCAGCTGCACCCCATGTTTGAGGTTAGAGTTGCAAAGTTTTCCCAATGGGCTGCTACCGGCACCGCCCCGCCCCACAAAAATTTTCTGGGATACCGGCATGCTACCACGCCCCAAGCAAAAAACCGCCAAATTACCGGCATACCAAAAAACCTGCATTCTTGAACTCGTAGACCACAGTAGATTCTTGACAATTCTAATTAGAGCCAAACCTGTGAAATGCTGAGGTTCATGTGTTACCCCTACCCTTAGCAATGGAACTTCTACCACAAAATGTATTTTGCAGTGGCTAAGATTGCTGTTATTACAATTCATTAGCCTCTTAGTGTCCAAAGTTTGAATCATATGCTGATAATTTTTTGTGTGCAAAATCAAAAATACCGGCATGCTACCGGCAAGGCATGCCAGATACCACGAAAAAACCTGCGGTAGTGAAAAATTACCGGCATGCCGGTAGTGCGGTAGGGAAATTTTGCAACTCTATTTGAGGTGTGCACCAACAATGGTTGCTTAGTGTCCGGCTATATATCAAATTTCAGCAAAATCGGACGAGTAGTTTCTGAGATACAGAAAAGGGGTGTGCACGTGCGCACGTGCAGCTGCACCCCATGTTTGAGGTGTGCACCAACATTGGTTGCTTAGTGTCCAGCTATATATCAAATTTCAGCAAAATCGGACGAGTAGTTTCTGAGATACAGAAAAGGGGTGTGCACGTGCGCACGTGCATCGGCACCTCAAAATTGTAACATGCGTGATTGGCCAATGGGTTATACCTGGCTGTGTTCCGAATCTGGACTCATTCGGCCCAGCCGTTCCCGAGATACTGTCACGCCATTTTCATAAACATCTCTCACGCGCCACGTGCAGGTGCTCCCCCATCACACCGCATCGGCTCGGCGGATGATCCCCATCATTTTCAATGAATGAGGCTATGCGGCGGTGAAAAAATGGATGTCGTAGGTAAACTGACTCTCGAGTTATAAGCATTTACTTTTAGGGCCGTTGTGGTCATGGCCGGATTTTCTGTGTCCAGTCCATGTATACAGAGGTCTATGATTCTTCAAATTTTGAGTACCCCAGTGCGAAATTCGCCCCGACGGGTTGTCGGTCGTACCCCAACCACATTTCACACCACTATGAACAATAAATGCTGACACTGAAATCGCTATTACCGATAGGCTCATCCAATCAAGTTTCGATAAACCCGTTTATCATCATCTCCTGCGGTTTCGAACACGCCTGTTAGGTGGCTTCTGATGCTCGTCGAGGTCGGAATTTCCAAATACGCTGCTCATACTTTGTGGTGCGGTGGTGGTGCGTCGGCCCGCGCGCTCTGACTTCGCCCAAGAAAAATGCGTCAGCTGATCATTGTCATTTCTGCCACTTGCGTGTGGTGAAATGGGGTCAAACTTAAGAGACGGCTGTTTCATATCAATTATTTTACATAAAATCATATTTTAAACCAAAAATTAATGTTCGACAGCCAAATTAAAGAAACAATACCAATACAGGCTTACAGATTAAGTTCGACATTGTGTTGTCTACGATTAGACAGCTGATAACTCATTCCCGTACGTCGTAACTCCATAATGACCTTTGCTTATTGTCACATGTGCGCCGCATTCGCGATTGTTGCCGACGCCTGTTTGCAGGTCAGCCCACTACAGTTGTTATACATATCGAAAAACCGATAAACTTTTAGGCGAAAAAGGCACTATTCCAGACCCGTTTTTGATTTTTTTTTTTGCGATATTCGGTAAAAACAGAAGCTTCTTATCCTAGGAAAAATAAAATGGGAAATCGTTGGAAGGTGGCACACTACCTTTAAGGTAAGATTTGTGATCCGCAGCGAAGAACGTTGGATACATGTATTTTTATAACTTACATGTACCTACATACATGCATAACTAATTATTTATGTGCACCCATTAATTCGTTATCTGTAACACATGTTATCTATAACAGGAAACACGAGTCATCCGTATTCGCGGTTTACGACAGGAACAGGAAACATCTATTATTCAATGCACCTCCAATATATATTTGTTCACCTTTTCGCTTGACGTGCACGTCTAATATAAAACGGCAGTGTTTAATGTCACGAGCAGCGCTGTTACCGGCACCAGCACCGGCATCCGGGCTGATTCTGGCCGGCGGTGGCCAGCAGCACACGGAGCAGTGGTCAGCACACGGAGACGGGGGGCGCCGTGCTACCGGCACAGAGCGGCGGCTGCGTGCCCACACGACACTACACACACAGCGAGCGCACCGTATCACAGAATCACAGGTCCCTGAGCTGCTGGGGCACCGGTGCCGGCGGGCCGTCCCACAGAGGCGCCTCGGGACCGCCAGCGCCGCCGCAGTCCACCGCCGCGTCACCGCAGTCCAGCCGTCCAACGTCACCCGAGGTCACAGGCTCGTCACCAGAGTTCACAGGCGCGTCACCAGAGGTCACCGCTCCGTCATCCGAGTTCGGCGGGGGGCCGGCTCCGGCGGCCGTCACTCGGTGCCGCGCGTCACCACTGGGAGCCGGCGGCGGCGGCGGCGGCGGCGGCGCGAGCCCGCCGGCCGGGCCGGGCTTGACCTCCGTCTGGGAGAGGTGGCGCACCATGCGGCCGTACTCTGCCAGCATGTGGTCGCGCACGCCGCACACCACCGGGTGGTCGCCGGCCAGGCCCTCGCGCTCGGCCAGGTAGCGCAGCGTCTCGCCTATGCAGAGCGTGTAGCCGTACAGGTAGGCGGCCGAGGCGGCCGGCACGGGCGCCTCCAGCAGTCGCTCCAGCAGCAGCTGCAGCTGGTCGCCGGCTGGCGGCAGGGGCGGGCACCGGTCAGCGGCCACACAGACACACACCGCACACTGCACAGGCCTCATAGTCACCGCCCCGGGCGAACTCCGGGACGGCGGCCACCTCAGAACAGAGCGGTCAATAAAGCGCATATATAGTCTGACAAACCTCAGAACGAACGGAGCTAAAACGCCTCGGAGCGCTTATCACGTGCACCGGACATTGGATATAGCCTGTCCGTGCTAAAATTTGAGAAGTTATCCCGGGCGTATTGGGAGTTATCTACACAGACACGTCTATCAAGAACTGTTGCACTTTACACTAATTCTTTCTTAGCTTTGTCAGACTGGATGGAGCGGCATCTTAGCAAAACAGCGAGACGTGACCTGGTGTCGTCGTACGCATGCAGTGCGACCTGATCCCGCGGGCCGGCAGGCAACATGACGTCACTCCGCGGGCCGGCAGGCAGTATGTGACGTCACTCCGCGGGCCGGCAGGCAGTGTGTGACGTCACTCCGCGGGCCGGCAGGCAGTGTGTGACGTCACTCCGCGGGCCGGCAGGCAGTGTGTGACGTCACTCCGCGGGCCGGCAGGCAGTGTGTGAACTGTGAAGCCCCCCTCCGCTGGCCTCACCTGCGGGTGCCGGCTGGTGCAGCAGCGCCTGGGCGCTCAGCTCAGCCAACAGCTGAACCTGGTCCTCCTCGAAGCCAGAGTCGTCCATGGCCGCGGGGCACCAACGGAAGAACGGCAGGCGCGAACGGCTGGGTGGCCCGCAACGAACACCGAATGTTGAGGGCGGAAACACTGCAAAGCACAAACACGCAGAGTGACAATTAACATTAAAGCTGCATGTAAGCATTGGCACATACGAAACGTCGCCTTAACCCTCGCCGGACCTATTGGTTTTCTAATTTCTACATACGCGCCGGCCGAGGGGGGGGGGGGCGGGTACGACCCCCCCCCCCTCGCCGTTTCGCCCCTGGTGGAGCTAGCGCGTCGCGGAAAAAACGAGCGTGTGCGCCGTTACGAGACGCAGAGATTGGTACCCGATTTTAAGGTCCTAGGTCAACCGGTGACCTCTGAGGTCAGGTCAAGTGCCCCAGGGTACGGTTCAGTTTTTGGTGAATAACTTCGCAAAAAACGGCCGCAGAGCGCCGATTTTGGCAGCATCGTGTTCGCCTCGCTCAGGCGCGTCGAATGATATACTTTTTGTCCGGGTCAGGTCAACTTGGGGTGTTGACCTCAGGTCAAGGTCAGGTCAGCACCCCCAGGTCACGAAGTTGGTCGAAAGAGGTCATGTCGCATATCATTCGATTTGGCAGGCCTTCCTGAGTCCATTGGTGCCTTTCCCGACTCGCTAGCTCAATTTGATCAAGAGTTATTGACGAAAAAGTAATTTGACCTTGATGACGTCATAAATGACGTCACGCAAGGTCAACATTGCAAAAGTGACGCATCTAACCTTGCAAGGAGTGCATCAAATCACGATTCTGTGTGCTTGAGATAGTTGGAGATCGTTCCCGGCGCCAGAATAGCAGTTTGAATTTTTCCCCATTGACTTATAATGGTGAGGTCACGAAAATGACCTGACCTCATATGACCTTTAGGAAAAATACGAGATATACAAGTTGTGGGACTCATAATGGATACTAGATCCTGCAAGATTCATTTCCCTGTGACATCTCCTCTGGCAGTGAGGGCGTTGCGAAGTTGCGACATCTGAAGACCGTGCAGAGGTTCACTTATGACGTCATAGGTCAGTGACCTGACCTGACCCAAAAATGCGGTTGGTGTCAAAAGATCCGGCTTGGATCAAAGGTCAGGTATGCCAAGTTTCAGCTCTCTATCGCCAGCGTGTTCGGAGCTATCGCGAAAAAACCCTATGGGGGGGGGGCGGCACCCGCCCCCCCCCCCCTCGGCCGGCGAGGGTTAAAACGTAAATGGCGACATTTACACGGAACAGGACATTTCGAAATATTTTTACGCTTCATTTAGCAGTATAAAATGTAATGATAAATAAATAGAATATTACAAAGACACTTCAACCTCAAAGTCAGAAATGTTTTCAATCCGTAACAGCGATCGGCCAATCCGTCCCTCACCCGTCATGGACGGGCATGTCCCCTGGGCGGTGTTTCAACGGCACGCTGCCAGCCGCTGCCAGCACACGTGGCAATTTGGGTTTCCATGGAGACATCAACAAGCCCATTGCTCCAACACTACCACAAGTATGTCAGCTCGCGAGATACGTTGGCAGCGTCAGCGTGCCTTTAAATAGGGCCCTTATTACGAGTAGTCGGTTCGACCGTTATGCCTCCTACCTGTGAGGGATATCCCTAGCTTCTATCAGAACCAGCACTAGCACCTACCTGTGGGGCCCAGCCTCCCAGCTGCGCGGTCCAGTCCCTCGCTCTCACTCGGCTGGTGCGCGGCCCGTGCTGGCCCGGCCGCCGCGCCGCCGGCAGTGACGGCTCACGGAGGCCGCCGCCGGCTCCTGTGCGGCCGGCGGCGTCTCACACCGCCCCAGGGCACGTCTCGCCTCACCAGCTGCCACCGCCGCGCCGCGCTTACCTGGAGCAGCCGGCGCCGCTCCTGTCCTCTGGCGGTGGGACCGGCTACTACTGAGGTTATCGCCGCTGGACACGGCCCTCACGACAGCCAGGGCCAAAAGGCCCTATATAGACCAGGGCCCTGGACCCAATGTACCCCCGTTCCGTCGTTTCTATCCTCAGGATACTGAAATCCTTCTCCTCCACGCCGCAGCCTCCATTCCGGGCTGGACAGGTACCTTTACCTCATGCGGGCTGCTCCATTGGAGTGGCACCGCTGCTTCCGAGGGAGCGCACCCCGTAGCCGGGTGCAGAGTGCTTGGGGGGGGGGGGCTGGCCAGCCTGTCCATTCGGACGGGCTCAGCCCCGGCGACTCTCTAGGGTGCCTGCCCAGACCAATGTCTCCCCCTAATTCCGATCATTCTTCCAAATCTGAAATGCTCTTGTCAGACCGAAAGGGCCAAACCCAACAAAACAAACAAACAAACAAACCCAATGCCGAAAGGATCACCTGCTTCGGCAAGTCGCAGCACTGGCTGTATACTCATGGGCGTCACCACCACTAGGGAGTCCCTAGTGGTGTCCCTAGTAGGGACACTAGGGACATTTTCCCTAGAAGTTTTGAAATCATCGAAAACTACTAGGGACTGTCCCTAGAAGTATTTTGGGCTCCTTTTACTGGGGACACGCAAAGAACCCGGGACACGATAAAGGCGCAACTGGCTCAGCTCTCCGAACACATGTGTGTTGCCTTGCGAGTAGTCGCGTCAACATCGCCACGACACCGTTCCGTGCTTCTATCCTCAGGATACTGAAATCCTTCTCCTCCACGCCGCAACCCCCTCCGGGCTGGACAGGCAACTTTATCTCATGCGGGCTGCTCCCTTGGAGCGGCACCGCTGCTCCCGAGGGAGCGCACCCCGTAGCCGGGTGCAGTGAGTGCCTTGGGGCTGGGTGGCCTGTCCTCTGGACGGGCTCAGCCCCGGCGACTCACTAGGGTGCCTGCCCAGACCAATGTCTCCCCCTATATCCTATCATCCTCCCGGCTCTGAAATGGTCTAATTGGACCGAAAGGGCCTAACCCAACAAAACAAACAAAATCAACATCGCCACGGTAAATAAAAAGGTCCGCGAGCGGTGTGCCACCCTGCACAGAGGTGACGGTGCCCTCCAGGCACGTGCGTGTGTGGTCGCTGGAAAGCTGAATAAGGCAGGCCGGGACTCTCGTCCGACAAATCGGTCGAGTTTGTTTCCCAGTCACCCGAGGAGACACCCGAGCCGATTCTGGGGGACTCAGCTGTATGAGGGGCTGGTCGCCACAGTGCGCGTGGAGTGGACCCGGCGGGAGGTCAGGATCAGGGCGGTAATGGGCCGCCGCTCTGGGCATGGGTGGTGTTTTTCCAGAGAAGTTGGTGGGGCAAAAAAAAAAATTGTCAAACCCACAATGTCCGAGAATGTAGGAGACCAAAGAAACAAACCAAGCGATGAAGATTTTCGACAACATTTCGAGAAGCTTCTGGGTTTTATCCATCTAGTACCTAAGACTGTGTCAATAAACTACTACTACTACTACTACTAGTTGAATAAAATGCCACACTGAATCAATTCCTATCATTACAAATATATTTTGTATTGACCCGCGCCGGGCCGGTGCTCCGCGACTTCCGCGCCTGGCCGAGGGGGAGGGTCTGACCCCCCCCCCCTCTAACTCGGCTCCTGGTCCACAAGATACATCGGATACACAATGTACACCGCGCACCGCGTCGGGCACACGAAGCAAGCGCAAAACAGACATAGACCATGCTATCTTGGAGAAGCTAGATAGGAGCAGGAAATAGCAATCTGACAGGGACTACACATTCTGTATGAATGTGTATGCTGAGCTGCAGCACAGGAGTGAGGCCACCAAAAAAACTGATAAAACGTGCGATCCAGCAGATTCTAGATGAATACGAGGACTGAAGGGCACTTATGATACCCATCCTTTGATGACCAAATGGGCGCTTACATGGGAAAGAGGGTGCCTATAAAGCTTAAAGGACGTCCTCCATGTGAAAAAGGGGCGCCTGGGACTTGAGCGCCCTTCCGAGCTGTCCGAGGTCGCCGGAAAGTTTGTATATGTCCAGCTCCTGCTGCACTATCCTCCAAAATAATTCTATTGGATTTAGGCCAGGACTGTTCCCTAGCCAAGTGTCCTTCCCCCAGATATCGGACAGATGGTCCTGGCACCGCCTAGTTCCGGAAGATCGATGAGATGGAGTACCGTCCAGCATGAAAATGTTGTCCGACCTGCGGGACACCATGCGCCGTTGCAGCACGGGGTAGTGGTCTTTTAATGCCAAATGCACGCTTTTTCAGTATGTTTTCTAGGTAGTAGTCGGGATCGACTTCGTCTTTTGGTAGAGTACGTCCAGCTGGTTCAGCTCAGGCCCTGCTAGGACATCGTGATCGTTCGACATACCATTGCGGCGAGAATTTTTCGCAGAAGTCTGTCGGAACTTGGGCCGCGTTTTCAGCCCATGCTCGTTTTGGGGGTCCGTGTGGTGAAACCATTGAAATGGAGACTCGTCGCCGAACTAGACCCGCTTCTACATACCTGCTCCGTTTCCACTCTTCTACCGGCCAGATTCTCCGTTTCGTGCAAATGTGAGGGCTCTGGGCTTGCTGATTTTCGTTATTTTGGCCGCACCAATAGTCAAGCGCCTTCAGTCCAAGGGCGTTCCTCCCTTATCAATGGACAACATTATCCGAGTGATCATTATGAATAAGACTTCAGATTCCCCGCAGAATGGTCAGACTTCCCAGGTGCTTTCTTCATGACGATCTTGGCGACGGTTGAGACGCAGGAGGACCATGCTGATTGGGGCTTATGCGTGACGCTACTTGTCCCTAAACTTCTTCCACCAGCCCAGCGCTTGTTGGTGAAAACGGGGGCTTAGAAGTGTGAGGCAGCGTCCTTCCATGTGTTGCCACTTGCCAGCTTGGAGCATGCCAACAGCGCAACTACGAACCTCTCAACTGCAAAGCTAAACCTTCATGCTTAGACGTTCAGTAAATGCGCCGTTCAATGCTCCTGTGTGGTGTAGATATGTCTTGCAATAACTATAGCCTGCCTGGGATGGGATGGGGATGACGGGCTTAAAGCAAACCCATCTTATTGATGTTCGCGGTTTGCGGCTCACTTGCATGTCGCAGGGCAGAGTTGGTTGTATCAAATGAGGCGTCTCGACCGGCTTCTTGTTGTTTGCTAGGTGTGCACGATGTCGGTGCAAGGGTTTTGTGTATATCGCCGAAAAAAAAAACATTCTGGGCTCTACTGAATTCGGGTGGTCTGAATCGGCTGACTAGGTCCGCTCTTACTGCGAGACGGGCGACCCGATCAATTTGAAACCCTTACTCCCGTCTCGCGGCATCGATTTCGACGGCGATTATATCGCAGTCTCCCCTCCTATCGTCGACTATAGCTTCAGAACACAATGAAAAACGCGGGAATGAGATGCGTCATTAAAGCTGGCCGTCCACCTAACACTGCCGCGCCGAATTTAACACTGGAGCCTATCGGAACGCTTTAGCAAGCAGCTTTAGCAAGCATATATTCTATCGCGTGCAATTATTTGGTGACTTCGTAATTAAAGCAAATAACTTCAAATTGATATTTTATTCACAAGAACATAGGTTTTGTGCACTCATGTCGAGCACGTCATTAAACATCCATATTACATTGTTTCTATGCGGAAAAGGGCGGCTCATTTTCACTGGCGCCGTCCGGCAACGTTCACAGGTTGCCGCTCATCTTACACGACGCGACTTGTCCACTGCTTTCTCACTCGTGTAACTTAGTGTGTATCAAAACAATGGCTATTCTAGACTGCTGTTGTGACAGTGAGCGAACGTGACAAACAACAAAACAAAAGTTACAAATCAAGCATCTCGCATTCACAGGCTGGAGATGGTGTACAGCCGCGCCAGAGGGCAAATGAAGCCCCGGCGCGGCCCCCAGTCAATGGCATTGGTAGCTTCACGCTCTGGTGACGTAAGCAGAGCGTGAAGGTTTTTTTATTTTCCCTTCACTAGTGCTTTACCTATGGGAGATACCGATTTCGAAGGCAAAACTAAAAGTCGATTTATTAACTTATTAGTCGAGATACGTATAAACCGAGTGTACCATACGACAGCCTGATCTTTCTTCTATCGATACCCGCATCCAATTTGGCGATGGTACATACATAAAACGCTGAAATTTGGCGATAGGCGGGAAGGTGCAATCCTAAACGGTATCATTCAATTACATCTTGATGGTTGCTTTTTCGAATGCTCGGAACATACCGAGTAGTGATGAACCTGACCTTTGATTCAAGCCGGATCTTGCAATACCAGCAGCTTTTTCAGGTCAGGTCAGGTCACTGACCTTTGACGTCATAAGTGAACCTCTGCACGGTCCTCAGATACCGCAAGTTCGCAACGCCCTCAGTGTCAGAGCAGATTTCACAAGGAGATGAAACTTGCAGGACCTAGTATCCTCCAGAAGTCTCACAACGTGTATATCTCGCTTTTTTATTCAAGGTCACATGAGGTCAGGCCGGTCATATGAAGTCACCATTATAAGCCAATGGGGGAAACTTATAAACAGCTATTTTGGAGCCCAGAACGATCTCAGACTAGCTGTAACACACGCAACCGTGATTATTTCATGCACTCTTTACAAGGTTCGATGCTTCATTTTTGCACCAAGAGCTTGCATGACGTCATTGATGACGTCACTTGTGTCATAAGTTTTTCGACAATAAGTTCTGATCAAATTGAGCTAGCGAGTCGGGAAAGCCACCAATAGACTCGGGAAGACCTGCCAAATCGAATGATATGTGACATGACCTCCTTCGACCAAGTTCGTGCCCTTGGGACCTCTGACCTCACCGTGACCCGAGGTCAACACCCAAAGTTGGCCTCACCCAAATAAAAAGAATACCATTCGACGCGCCTGAGCAGGGCGAATACGATGCTGTCAAAATCGCGGCCCTGCAATCATTTTTTGTG